CGGTGCCTGGGAAGACGGGGGGGGCCACCCGGTGCTCTAGGCAGGGCCCTGAAGCTGGTAGGCGGTCGGTCTCAATCAGCGTGGAAATCCCGAAGTTCCTATGATTTGTAAGTATTTCCTTGTACAAGGCCGTGTTCAGAAAACCCTACGCATAAACGCAACTCTTCGTATCTTTACAAAACGTTCTTATTCACAAATAATTTACAAATCAAAAATACAGAGAAATATATAGAGCTTACTCACCCGGGTAAGAAGCCTTCAGGTCGAGCAGAGTTTCTCAGCTGGTACCAGTCACACAATCCTCACGCTCCCTTTCCTGGGGGATAGGAGGGTGGCACGGTACGTCCAGTTTCCCCAGAAGACTAGAGGCAAATTTAAAACAAAATATGCCACTTTTAGCACAGTTACGATGTTGTGTATGGTTGGACTCTGTATCGATCTCCCCCTCAGCCAGAGGGTGGGGTAGCAGTGTGCCCCTGACTAAATTACTGATTTGACTTTTCTCTCTCCGCTAAAAGCACCTCATCGAGGCTCAAATGAAACTAGGCTCTACTTAATTTTATTAACTGTGACAAACTAAAGACAAATATAGAAATTTGACTTTTCAATGCTTTTAAACGTTTTTCTTCCCAAATAACTATGTGCTTTCTCGAATCTTATTTTAACACTTGTTCATTCACGAGCCACGTAGGCTAAAATCGAGCATAAAATAGAAACCAACGGTTACCGTTCCTAGAACATTTCTTTTTGCCGTTTTTATCACAGCAGTTTAGATGGAGCAATTTGCAGAGTTTAAGTACTAGTTTTAAAATACATAAAGACCTGCTTCCTTTAAATTAAATTTGTGTGTTAATGCAATACACGCTTCAAATGCATTTCCAAGTTGATATGTTTTCCAGCTGAGCTAATGAGTTCATCAATTCAAATAGTAGCACTTTGAGCGGTTGGCTTGTGCAAGAGTCTTAAAAACCCTTCTTGAGCAACTAAAACCTTAATTGAACTGCTTCCATAAAGATATATTAATTTGTAGTTACTCGTGAGACGCGTATATAGGAGTTCAGCTGCTCCTGCTAAATTGCTTGCCCGGTGCACTCTCCCAGATTTTATTTCCAAGACATTTTTAAACAAAGATGGAATTTAGCTAATTCCATTAACTCTCTTTTTAACGATGCAGTTTAAAAACTCACAGAGCCAAAGACTCGGAGAGTTTTTTCACATTAGCTGCAAAACAAAAGCCAAAACCAGGCGGGCTGCACAGTGGGAAAACTCCAGCGAGGTAGCATTTGCTTAGTTCCAGGATGGCTGTGACGGTTCTTTCACAAGTCATCCCTGAGGTTGCCTGTACCAAGTGTGAGGCTGGGGCGTTGCATGAGTCACTTCTGCTTGGCTGATGGATGTTCCCTTAGGGACTACAGTCAGCCAGGAGAAAATACGGTTCAGTTTTAAATAGTGCTGTGGCTCCAGCTGATGCAGACGTGCTCTGAGGATAATGGAACCATAATCAGGTCCTTGACATACCCTAATTTTTGCTGTATCCTGCAGACAGTCCCGACAGTAGTATCTTCTCTAGGGGAAGGGATGAAGTATGCATTTTTGCTGTATTCTCAGTATAGGATAAAACTTCCCCAGATTCAAATTTGAGGCAAAACCTCTGAGGTTCTAGCTCTCTTAATTAAATTTTAAATCTCAAGCAATACTTCAGGGATGCTATTTTTTCCTTCTATCACCTTCCCCATCAGCAGTCAAGAGTTCTCGTTGCTGTTTGTTTTATTGCTGCTAGAACCATTTTAAATGCTATCATCAGACTAGTTTTGCAAAAGTAAGTACGTAGCCTTTTTCTGAAGAAGTGATTTATTTGATGGGGATACAGAAAAGACAGAAAACCTGAATGCTGTTAATGATGAGTTAGAGCTCTATCGATGGTGGAGCTATACCAACATATATAACCACGGCTTAAGGGGTCAGTCAGTCTCCTTTTTATAAACTGCTGTAGCCGTTGTACTTCCTCTAAACTCTGTTTCTTCCTCTGTACTGAGCTGTAA